CCTCGGCCGGATCCATGCGCTCCAGCACTTGCTCGAAGAACAGCAGCAGCGTCGCATCGCTCACCGCCCCCTAACCCTGCTTCTCCTTGTATGCCTTGCGACGATCGCTGCTGTTCTCCGCGTTGACTCAAACTTTTGCTGTTGCTGATTTCGCACGTCCCGCCTTCTGCGGACTGAAGAAGCATGCAGCGCTCCAAACTTTTCGAGTCGAAAGACATCGATGGATCGCGATGAGCGAAAGCGGAAGAAAGGGGAAGAGGGGAGGAGAGCTTGCCGTGGGCAGAGTGGAAGGAGCGAGGCAGCCCGTGCACATTTGACACTTGTCCAAGGACGCCTGACAGGTTGCGCGGCATGGTTTGGCGCCCACCTCGGCTTCTGGCTTTCGACGAACCGACTGCGGAGAGCGCATACCCGTACCCATCCCGGTCGTCGCAGAAAAGGAAATACAAGGTAGGTCGGCATTGCAACGCTACTTTGGCCTACGCTCACTTCCGCACTTTGTCGTGCGCGGGTACAGCCTTTGGGCCGTCCCAATCACAGTCTTCGCCACGGCGCTCAGAAGATCGCATTGGCATTCCTACCAAGTCGCTCTGTATTGGCCCGAGCGACACGAGATGCAGATGTCGCCGTGATGCCTCGGCGCGATCGAAAGCAATGCAATCACTTTTCGCCGCCCTCAGTCGCCACTCTCGTCCCGCACCCTCGTCCCGCAACCTTGTTCCGCACTCTCTTTCCGCAACCTGATCCCGCACCTCGTACGGAGGCGGTATACCTACCGCTCACTCACACACATTCTTCACCGGGACCAGTGTCCAGTCAGGCGCTCAGCACTCGTTGCGCCAACACAGTCCGCACGCCAAGTAAAGATGGACGGAATTCAATTGACGGAACAACAAAAGAAAAAAAGAAAGAGGGGGAAATTGAATATGCGGAGAAGGGGGAAGAGAGCAGAGAGAGACGCGTGCGGGAGAAAAAAGTGGAGCGGGAAATTCATTTTCTTCGACACCTGTCAAAAAAAAACAAATTCACGCCACCACCACCATCGCCATGCTACCATCATCTCGATCAAAGGTCCTCCAGCTCGTCGGCGCTGTCGTAAGTGCCGGCCTTCTTTTTGGCGAGTCTGTCCTTGCGAGCTTTTCGCTTGTCTGACGCCGATTCCTTCTTGACTTTCTTGACCTTCTCGAGCTTGTTGCCAAGGGCGTCGAACTTGTCCTCGTCGTCCTCCTGGGTCTCGATCTTGGTGCCCTTGGAGTTGGACTCGGTCCAGTCGTGACCGGACGCGACGAGGACACCGTCGTTCATGGCCCAGATCTCCTTGCAGGTACCCTCGGAGAACTCGCGGGAGTGGGTGATGATGGCAACACCGCCCTGGAAGCTCTCGATGGCCTTGATGAGCGCGGCGAGCGACTCACGGTCCAAGAAGTTGGTGGGCTCGTCGAGGACGATGATGTGGGGCTTGCGCCAGGTGGCGGCACCAAGCACGACCTTGACCTTCTGGCCACCCGAGAGACCGCGCATGGTGTTGTGCGAGGTGAACTCGCGCTCCAGACCAAAGTCCTCAAAGTGCTGCTCGATCTCCTTGCGCACGAGGGGTCGGTTCATACCGAGACGCTGGGCCTCCTTCGAGTCGAAGGCCATGACCTTCTTCTCGAAGCCTCGCTTGATGAGTTCGTCACGGGGGATCCAGACGTTGTCGGCCGAAGACATGTTCTTGAACGAGACCTCGTACTGGAACGAGTTCTTGAGCTTCTTACGGGCCACGATGTCCTCGATGAGGCG